AGGCCCTTGTACTTACCCAGTAAATTGGCTCTGGAAATGACCGTTTTCATGCCTGAGTCCCCAGTTCCTCACTCTTCTGGATTATTCTTTATGCCATATTTCATGTTGTAATGGTCCCATCACCAGAAAAGCCTCTGGAGCCCATTTTCAGTTGCTACTCTCACTCTCTGCCTGTCCCTTCAAGTCTGAGGAATGACCTGCTTGCCAAATTCCTGGTTTATCTTGCTGTGTGTCTGAACCAGTTGAGCACTCCGCTCCGCTTCCCTTCTCTGACTGAGATCACGGTGCCTCACACCACTCCACGCATGCAGACTCCCTCTTGCCTCCACAGGTGCTCACTGCCCCCTCTTCTCTGCACAGCTAGTTCCCTTACTGTGTTCAGGTTCTTAACCTCAACTGTCACCTCCTGAGACAGGCCTTCCCTGAACTGTGTTTAAATGAGCCATCACCACCTGTCCCCATAGCCTTCTGTATCTGCTGACTCTGATTTTTTTCACCACCTGACATACTATATATTTACATGGATTTTGTCCATTTACTTCTCAGGTAACTCATCCAGTAATAGTATTAACCCCATGAGGGCAGGAACTTTGTTTATTTGATTCTCTGCTCTCTGCCCAGAATTTGAACACGTCTGACACATTGCAGACACTCAGTGAATACACGCTAACAGAATGGGTGTTCCTGAGACCCTTCTCCAGTTCCCCCTGAGAACCCTGAAGCCCTCTGCCTGTCCATCATAGAGAAACATGTCAGTTGTAAAATTGCCCTTCTGATTCATGACTGAGTTTCACTTCCTCCTCTGTCAGCGATGAGAAGAATTCACGTACTCCCGCAAACCCGCTAGCTCTTCCTACCCTGGTTCACAGTGCTGCTGTCTGCCTCCTTCTGTAACGAACGTGCACATCATCCGCCTTGGAGCCCCCAAGTCGACAAATGTGCTGCTGGTCCCAAAGGAAGAACTGCTCCAAGAGCTTTAGTTCTTTTTGAAAAAAGAAAAAAGTTCCTTATTTCTTTAAAAATACATAATTGCTGCCTCTCCTGAGATATTTTTACATTGTGTCTCTAGAGGAGGAATTCCAGCTGATGGCCCAGTGCAGGGCAGAGGCCCATAGACAGACAGTCTGGCTCCAATTTATGTTCTGTGCTAACATGGCTAATAGGCATTAGTATTTTGATATAGAGAAGTGCCGTACTTGATCCTGACTTGGTTAAAAACTGGTAACATCTGGCTTAGAATCACACATTTAAGGGCCAAGAGTTATTCATTTTCTTCATCCTCCCTCCCTCCGTCACTCCCTCCCTCCCTCTCTCTCTCTTTCTCTCTCTCTCTCCCCCTCCCTCTCTTAAAATGTCTTGGGAATAGTTTAAGTATTTTAATAGAGCAGTACACAGAGTAAATTGGCAGAAGTTCAGTTTGCACCATGTTAAACTCTGCTGTAGACACTTGGAACGTACTGGAACGGTTATATATGTATAATATGTATCAGAGCTTCCACAAAGCGCTGTTGGTGCCCTTATTGTCCTGCTCCCCACCCCCCCATCCAAGTTTTCACCGTCACTTCATTTCAGACCCTAAACTCAACACGCACTACAGTTAAACTTAAAAAAGGCAGTAACTCTTGATTCATAAGGTGCCCATAATTCTACAAACATCTCATGAAAATGAGCAAACATCTCTGTATAAAATTTGGGTTCAATCCAGAAGTATGTTTAACTCTCAAATGCCTGATAAAACCATGGGGTTGCTGGCTCTGGTAGCTCCTTCTCAGGAGTTTGGCCAAGCAGAGGGTGCCCACCATTACAGATCCTTGCTAAGACCACCTCCCCCAACTTGCTGGTCATCTTTCTTGGATTCTTACATCTGTGGGTTCTTTAGCTAGAAAAATGTGGTATTATAATCTGCTTAGATTTAGCTGTCCCAGTGACTTAGTAAGCTGGGGTGGGGGGGGAAAACTCGATATTTGAAAGTAAGCCCTCACTAAACATTCTCTTAGAAACAAGATCACCACTTCTTACAGACATGGTTTTCCTTGGCTTGTGGCATGACTGTCCCTAGCCCATCTGTGCCAAGCCTTTGGCATGGCTGATGCAACACCTCCTTTTCAACAGGCCTTGCTCTCTGGAAACCTCGGTAAAATACAGCTAGTTCACACTCCGGCAAACCTCAAACCTAAACTTTCCCAGTTAACAAATGATATTTTGCCAAAATGCTTACTAAATCCTGGCTCTGAGTAGAATGGGATGTGGGATCACCATAACCTGAAAAACCAAGGAACGACCCCGTCTAGTGCCTTGGGGCTGCATTCCCGTGGAGTGCTCAGATACAGTTTTCATCATACCGTATGCTATGCTTACTTGTTAGAGAATTCATGTTGGTTTTTTTTTTTAATTGTATTTGCATGCTTATCAGATGCACAAAATGCATTCTTCATGGATTTGCCTATCATGGGTCGCATAGAGAGTTATGGACTTCAGAAGCGTGGAATCAATGAAAGTAACAATCAAAGAGGAACAGTATGTTTTCTCCCAGCCTCATAAATCTGATCTATAAATGCAAAGAATGTGAGACATGAATATAAGAAATTCAGTAATTTTATTTAAGACTTTAAAAAGAAAAAATTGGCGCTTCATAGGAGAAGAATTCAACCAACCGAGTCTCCAGAAGGAAAACCTTTTAAATAGGACGTTTCTGAATCCCCATCTGAAATATATATCTTTAGGGCAGTAATCATCAGAAACATAACGGAGTAGTGTAGAGCTCAGTTTTATTGTCTTGCATCAGTGAACATTCCTCAAAAGCAGCGAGCATCACTAATGGAATTATATGTTTTCATGCTATAATTACATTTGATTTTTCCTGATATTTCTATAGACTTTTTGTTCATGGTCCCATGACTAGACAGAATATTTACAAGTTTTCCATCCTCAGCCTATCCACCCCACTCCAAAAGAGAGAGACAGAGACTGGAAATAGGAATTCCTGAACAGAAAAAGACAAATGTAACTTTGAAACAAATTATTCAGCCTTCAGGGATTTTCTTTCAACAGCAACAAAAACATGAACAACAACAAAAGAAGTAAGGAAAAAGAAGAATTTCATGCTTAAAGGTAACAGCAAGAGATCCTTCTGAGACACAAAATAGGCACTCCCTGTTTCTGTTTGTGTTCTTGAATATTTGTTGGAGAAAATGGAATTTATCTGGTCTTTGGGTATGTTGCTCCAAATGATCCTGTCACTAGAAGACAAATGAATCTAGCAGGCAAGTCTGAGCGACTGGAGGACATGATACCAGGATGCCATCAAGTATGTGAACAGTGAACATCTGTTTTTGAAAAGAGAGTCTCTGACTATGAAATCCACAGAAATCTCTAAGGAAGCGATGCAAACAGTTAGAAAATTGTGTTGCCATCCAACATATCTTTACTGCCCTATCTTCGTCTTCTCCCACATCGAGTCTTCACTTTGCTCAGGACACCTCGGTGACCTCTTTCTTTCTTAGCACTCAATTCCTATTCTCTAAGTTTTAATCACTACAGAATGTGAAGCTGACACTCACTTCAAATATGTTTACTCTAGGGTTTCCTCCTCAAAGCATATGGAAGGGAGTATAGGCAGAAAGTTGGTTGTTGCCATGTAGGAACTGGATGAGGAAGGGCTTCTCCTGCTAAGTGGAATAAGTTCAGGGGTATAAATGAACACAGCTTGGCCTACTGGTTTGCATATCCTTATCATAAATTGAAGTAAAGTTAACATTAATTTCCCCAAGTTTAAATATTTTTTTTTTGAAATGCCATTTATTAGAACATTGAAAACACAAGTTTGGTTCTCTCTCCTCAAATCCCTACAGTCTGGCTCCTGGCCCAGCCACTCAACCCAAATCACCCTCTAAAGTCTTCCAAAATAATTTCTCAGCCAAAACCAACAGTATCCTTCTAGACTTGTCAGCTTTATTCGAAACCATATTCTTCTCCCTGCTAATACCCATTCTGGTCTCAAATTCTGAGGCTTTGTTCCTTCCAGGTTTTCTAGTTTCTGTATCTCCAGAGGCATACCTATTGCAATTCTCCTTTAGAGATCATTTCAACCACCATCATTTCAAGCACAATGTTTGTGCATGAATTACTTCCCCAGCCCTATCCCTAAACTCTCCCTACTTTTCAAAGTCTTCCACCTGTGATGCCAGGCTGTCAACTCTGGTTAATCATGGTAAAGTACCAACTTTGGTCTTGGTTCTCAGCTCATTGCTGCTAGATAACATCTCGGTTCTGTAGAAAAGAATTAAGTCACTTGCCTCCTTACTAACTCCCTTACGTTCATTAAACTTTTAAACATTATGTATTTTCTACTTAGATTACTTTTACTGAATTAATGTTCCTTTAGTTATCCTCAACCCTACCCTCTTAATGTCTAGTCAAATGCCAGTTAGACCAAGCTGTATGCGTATTCAAATAAATGTTGCCTGTCGATCAAAGTGCAATTAACAATTGAGTGGTGGTTTTACCGTGTTCCACCAGCTCTTCCTGGCCCACCTTCAGATGACATTTTTCTGCCCCCGTCTTGCAGACACCCCAAAGTCCTCCTTTTCTCCTTTACCTACTTATCTGTTATTCTTGAAAGATGGCCTTTCCTCTTCTGTACAAGTCTGCTCCATTCTTCGGTAGCCCATCCAAATATCTTTCTGCAAAGGACTTTCCATGGAGTACATATAAACCGGGTCCTGTGAACTAGCTTGCTTCCTACTTCCTCCTCACGAACATATAGATGTATGTGGAAATGTGTTCCAAGTTGTCTTGATGTGTGTATGAATTCCTCTAAATTCTCAGATGTATATTTAGTATGGTTTAGATTATCCTTTGGAAAGGCAGCTTTTTAAGGAAATCTCTTGGATCATACAGTCTACCCACCCCCACCGCCCCCAATAATATGCACTTAAAATATTCTTAATAATAAGTGATTACTGAAATTTTACCTCATTCTATGTGTATTTTCTTTTCAGGATCCCCCCATGGCTGTAACCCTGGGACTCCGAATGGAGGAAATGATTTTTAATCTTGCTGATACACATTTATTTTTTAATGATTTAGAGGTAAGAATTGAAAAAGAAAGGAATAGTCGTATCCCAACTATTATAATGCTTAGATGGCTTCTAAATAGGCAGATAACCTCAAGAAATCTGAAAAATATTTAGCTCAAGAGGATAGCAAAATTTCTGTCAACGGGAAAAATGTATATACAAATATAAACAAAAGCTAACTTGCACTAATGAATTCTGCCTATTTACTGGCACCTGTTTAAAACAAAACTATATCAGAAAAGGAGAAGCTCTGCTTTGCTGTCCCATACTGGACAACCCCCCAGGCACCTTTGGAGTCAACATTAGCTTTTCCAGGTTCCTAACCAGGGTAGTATTTAGGTTAAATCACTGGGTACTATTCATGGTGCTGGCATGGGTCATTAAGTTTTGTAGATAATCTGAAGCCTAATTTTAGACAACATTATCATTCCTTATTTCCTCTGCATCTGGATAAAACAGTGCTACAGCTGTTTACAAAGCACCTCTGATTGGTTGCATTGCATTTTTCTTTTGTTCTTATTTATCTTTTCATTTCCAACCTCAAAGGGAAAGTAAAAACAATAACAAAATGAAAGAACTCCCCCTCCCCCAGTAGTCTGAAGACTGCTAAATAAGTACTGTAATAAGGTATATAATCTGGGTGCTAAGGATCTGAGTTATTAGGCGTTCAGATGGTAAAATTTGAAGTAACTGAGTAGCTGAGCACTGAGCAGAAGTACTTCTCAGTCAAGTGCAACTGTGTTGAAATATTTTTTAAGTGACATATTTACATTTATTTTTTACCCAATGGTTTCACAATGAAATAAAAGTGTTTATCTATAATCCTACTATAAATGGAGAGGGAGATTATTATTGATGAAATCCCACCTTGTGCAGAACATTTTATATTGGATTTTCCATTAATTGAATAATAACCTTTGAAATAAATTTGTTTATCACACTGTTTTTGTAGAGGAGAAACTGTAGGTCCCACGAGCATAAAAATCATGTCTAAGGTTACCTGCTAGCTAAGTGGTAAAACTGGGATTTGAAACTCTGGAGTCTCTCTGGCTCCGGAGCACATATTTCTGCCCCCGTACCATGCTGAAATTAACAGAAGGGTGTGAGAAAGAAAAGCTAAATTAGTCAGTGTCTTAAATAAGTTTTAGAAATTGACAAGGTCTTAAATCCAGTTTCAGCTGCACTTGAGACCTAAGAGTAAAAATTCTGTTTTTTAGTATATCCCATAAATGTATGTGCTGGAAATCTGGGTAGTATCATTTTTTTGGTGGTGTTTTCTCTGCAGTGAGTCACAGTTTTTACTGGATAATAAAATTACTGTCTGTTTAAAGAGGTTTTATTTGTTTTCTTTAATGGCCAATATGAAAGATCAGTATTCCTCGGCAGGTTTTCCAGTTTTAGATAGTAAGAAAAAATAATCACCTCTCTAAAACCTGATTTAAATTAATCCTGCTACTTATTAGTAGGGTAGTATACAGAATGACTTTATATATACATTATAATAGAAAACACATTTTAATCTTTTTGGAACTTGAATTTTTATATATGGTGATAACTTTTAGGTTGGTTTTTCTGTTGGTTAAAATGGATGAGTCTCATTTTTCTAAAGAAAATTCTAAGATTACTCATCCTTTTAAACCTGTGAAAGACCAAAAAAAAATTTTTATGTGATTTTATTCAGGTTTCAGAGTTTTTATTTCATTTCATTAATTATTTTTTATTAGAAATAAATGGAATAAATGACCTTTTAGCTTTTTAGTGGCACATTAGGAGCCAGATGGAGTAAATTTACCACCCAGCTTTCCACAGAATAGTAAAGTGAGAAAAATGACAGTAGCATATGATGAATTTGCAAATACTTTTAGCAAGTTTGACATGAATGAAACAAATAAAATCTACACAGTAGCTTTCAGGGTCATTCAGTGCTGTTACATATATATCCACCATCCTTCTACAACTGATTTTGAAAGTCAACTTGTCTTTCTCCCTAATTTTTTATTTCAGTAAACCTCTGGTAAGCAAAGATTGTCATGGGCTGCAGACTGGTGTTAAGCTATTTCTGCTTCTGCTAACAAAGAGGCGAATTCCTCAAGAGAGTAACTCCATCGTTAGCCTTTTTTTTTTTTTTTTTTGCTTCTGTATTTAATATCTCAGGGTTCCTTTTCTTAACCCAGAACTCTAATTTGAGACTCAAATCCTTCAGTAGATACTGTAACATATGTAGTAGCAGCTGCTTTCACATAATTCCTTAAAAGATACAAATTTAAATCCTAATAGACACTTCGCTGCATCCTGCCCAACTGCTGGGAGGCAAATGCTCACACTACTCCTCCTAAGAAGAGAATGCTCTCTGTTGAAATAAAATGTTATTTCAGTTAGAATAACTTCCAGAAAAGAAGACACTGGGGAGTTCAGGTTCACAAAGGTGAGAGAAGGCTGCTGTGTAAGATTATAACTGATAAAGATCAGTGACAACTTCATGGTCACCGCGCAAGACAAAATTAAGTAATTTAAGATTAATTAAACAGAATTAGTCCAAATGTTTGAGTCCTTATACTGAAATTTGTTGAAGCCAAGCATTTTACTATTTTTAGTATTTCAGGTTTTGGTCAAAAATAATTCTTGCAAAATTCCTCTGAGTGAAAACTAATTGAAGAACAATTATTTGGAATTTTCTAAAAATGTAAGTGATTGAAGTTCAGATTTCTTTCACTGGACTGTAATCCTCAGGCAAGAGTCCAGAGTCAACAAGCATAGTTAACTAGGCATAAATTTAAAGAGAAGTTCCATTTGGAAAAATCTCAAACATAACTTCAAATATGGAGCTCATGCTCCAATAAGTTTGATATACTGATGTCCTCAGGAGTAAAAAATAAATTTAGGGGCAAAATGTACAAATTAATCATGTGAGTTAATACTTGAAATGTCAGAGGAATTTCTCTACAAATTAGGATGAGAAGGTATGAAATCTAGAAATAACTTCTGATTACCAGAGTCATTCGTAAGGATTTCCCCCTCTTTTTTTTGGATATTTATTTATTTATTGTAGTTTATTATAAAAGAGAGAGATGGAAACTATTTACATAATGAAAGATTTCAAAACTTCAGTGGAATGAACAGCTTCACATGATGCCGTTTTGATAGTAATTTACTTCCATCTTCATACTTAGCGAGAATGTCACCGTCTCTAATAAGGAATAAGTCTTGGTTGTCTAGAACACTTTGTTGCCTCCCTATTCTGGGAGAACTTTATTTCCAATTTTCATGCTAATGATTAAATCTCTCCAACCCTTCCTTTAGAGCCCAATCCAGTAGCCACTACTGTTGCTTGCTGTACTTTTCCCTGAGATTTTTCTGGAAGCCTAATGCCTCCTTTGGTTAAAGTTTGGGCTGTACTCCTTTCCACCCATACTTAGCCAAAATGGGGTAAGCCCTTTCCAAATGCACGTCCCGCCCTTACACTTCTGCAGCCTTGGCTTGTACCCCATTCTCCCCCAACTCCCCTCCACTCTTGATATAAATATCTTCTTACAGTCCTTACCATGTAGGATATGCAGTTAATATAATTGCAACTTTGTGTTAGAAAACTTAAATGATTGTGGTAATTTTGTCAAGAACTGTCATTGTCTAGATATCTGCCATTTAGTCAACAAAGAATTGCTGAGCGATTACCGTGTGCCAGATTGTGCCTTAACGGGGGGGGGGTATATCCAGGTGACCCAAACATCCCCCTCAGGGAGCTTCCAGTCAGATTAACTTTTTGGAGCCCTTCCTTACCTAGGAGTATTGGTAGACATTTACGCTAAAATTACTAATTTATGTATAATTTATGTAAATCATATGAACTTTTATTTACCTGGATTTTCAAGTTACATACTAAAATTGTATTAATTGGACTACTTTTATACTTTACATTTTAAAAGAAGCCCAGATCAGCTAGTTCAACCTCAAACTATAAAAGGTTCTAATATATTCAGGGTGGAAAGCTTAATATGAGATATGAAATATTTCACTACCGAATACTTTCCAGGTCCTATAATGAATATAAATAGTAGCTGAAAAGCCCTTGCTTAGTATGGCATCTTCTTGTCAGAGTTAATAATTTTTTAAAAAGTGATTTTCAATAGTAAGCACTATGTTATGCAGTCAGGATCTGAGTATCTGAAATAATTTGAGGAGAGAAAAAGAGGCCCAAAAAGCTAAACCATACTTATCCTAAAGTCAGTAAGTACTAGGTATTTTAAATGCCCTAGCAAAATTCCACCTTCAGATCACATACTATTTCATTAGAACTTTGCAGATTATTTGAAGATGGAATAGGACCCTTAGAAGAGCAAAGAAGAATTTACTTCTTATCTAGAAAAGTAACCGTTTGCTCTGAGAACACTGTGATTTCAGTCGTATTAAGTGTATGGGTATATGTACCTAAAGTTTATTCTCCTCTGAGTTTGTAGCACATTGGAGATGGTAAATCTTCGTTATTTCTCTTTTATTTGTAAGTATCATTTTCAGCTTCAAGATTTCAAAACTTGAAAAAAAGGAATAAAAGATACCGACTTCCACAGTTATCTAGCTTTTTTTCTGTGTTAAAAGACCAGGACTTTTAGAATAGCATCAGCATGGTTCCTTCATGGTACCCCTGGCCCAGCAAAAGGTAGGAAGTCTAGAAATCTCACAGGACACCATAATCATCAGGCCTCTCCATAGCTGCTCAACAAATAGCAAATAATAGTAACCACCTGACGTTCAACCACACAAGTTCTGTGTATCTTCAAATTAGCTTTGTTTCCATATTTAAGTATACGCAATAGAAATGGCTAAAAGTGAACACCAGTCATTCTTAATAAAGATTCAAAAGATAATTTGTTATCCATAATTTTCAGAGTAAACAATTTTAAGCTGCTCAAAAGAAATCCACATGTCATATGTTTTCAGACCCCCTTTTATGGTACTCTTCTGGGTTTAAAATAGAAATGCTGCCATTTCCACAGCTTGGCCGTGGGCTAGATGGGCAAATGCTGCCACCTTCTGGCCATGGCCTGTAATGGAAAGATGGAAAACCCAAAAACCACGCAGGCATCCTTTGAAAAACAAGTAACTTTTCCGATGTTTTTAACAGGAGTGTGATCAAGTTCATATAGATGATGTTTCCTCTGATGATAATGGGCAGGACTTAAGGTAAGCCGTGCCTTTCAGTATGCTCTTTCCTACAGAAATTCAGCTATGGAGTTTTGCACCTGTAATTATTTCTTTTATTTCTTTTTAATGTATTTTGGGTGTTGCAGTACCTACAGTTTTGCAACTGATGGCTTCCATGCAGCTGCAAGTAGTGCAAACCTTTGTTTGCCAACAGGTGTAAGAGGAGGGGTTGACTGGATGAGGAAGTTGGCTTTTCGTTACAGAAGAGTAAAAGAATTATACAACACCTACAAGAACAATGTTGGAGGTATGTGTGGCTCTTTAAATCTAATAAAGATACTGTAGAGAGAAGTAGGATCTGACCTGTAGGTCTGTGTTCCATGTTAGAGACTACTCTAGTAGAAAAGAAGTTACCAAGAGCTCCTGTTGAACTACCCTGAGTCAGAATCTTAAGTTTCTTAGTTGGAGCAATGGGGGTGGGGGGGGGAATGTAACTGCAAAATAAAACATGTGGCTCTGCCAAAGGAGTTGGGAATTCTCTGTGCCCAGATGTTTGGTCAAGATTTACAGCAGGACATGGGAAGTTTACTCCTCTTGTGCAGATACAACTCGTGCAAACCAGACAGGGGAACTCATTGAGGCAGTGGGAAGACCTGCCTAAAAGCAAAGGCCCCAGTCATTAAAGCAGAGTGGTTAGTCCTCATTATCTTTCTGGAATCCTTTCCAAAATAAATATAAACAGTGCTTTATGTCATTTTAGAGACTTAAGCCAGACTATTTTATTTTTTTAAAAATTGCATGTTGTCGGGCAGTATATCTTTTTTTTCCATGTATAGTATTAACTTTGATTATCATGGCTTTTAAATGTTCGGATCCTCTGTAGGTTGAATCTAAATTATTTTACCTTCATCCATGTATTAGAGGTGATATCACAACCTGATATCACAACCTGACATCAAAACTAAAATCCTGGATACATTTCTTGATAAAATAAACCTTGGTTATTTCTATTATTAGGATCAATTTTATGTCAGCAAGATCCTAAGATTAGCTATGAAGTCACATAATATTTTTCTCCCAGGGTGTTCTGTTTGTTTCTCTCTCTCTCCTCTCTCTTTTTAAAGGATGATTTGAGTAGCTTAAATCAGAATCTAAAATTGAATGATAAGTTAAATACACTTGTATCTCCAGTGTCTAGTGAGCCTTAAGGTACATAATAGATGTTCAGTAGACGCTCAGTAGCTATAAGAGAGTAAAAAACATGTAGGGGCGCCTGGGTGGCTCAGTCGGTTAAGCGTCTGCCTTCCGCTCAGGCCATGATCTCAGGGTCCGGGGACCGAGCCCCACGTTGTCTCCCAGCTCAGTGGGGAGAGTCTGCTTCTCCCTCTCCCACTGCCTCTCTCTCTGCTTGTGCTCACTCTCTCTCTCAAATGAAAAAATAAAATCTTAAAAAAAATATGTAGAACCACAGGCAATAGCAATATTATTATTATGGTTGTTAGAACCAAAAAGAGATCTTAGAAATAAGAGATCTTCATTTCCAAATGAGAAAGAGGCCCCTGCAGGACAGACAACTCCAGTTTCCTAATTCACTCCAATGCTCTAGATAAGACATTTGTAAAATCAGACAAACAGATATTCTGTTTAAATTCAATTGTGGGTGGGGCACCTGGGTGGCTCAGTCATTAAGCGTCTGCCTTTGGCTCAGGTCATGATCCCAGGTCCTGGGATCAAGCCCCGTGTCAGGCTCCCTGCTCTGCAGGAAGTCTGCTTCTCCCTCCCCCACTCCCCCTACTTGTGTTCCCTCTTTCGCTGTGTCTCTCTCTGTCAAATAAATAAATAAAATCTTAAATAAAATAGAATAAATTCAATTGTGGGTAACATGTTTAATTTTAAAATAAATATCCCCTTGAGAAATCTGAAACAATTTTTATTTAGGTTTGGCATTGTTCCCCTCATGAAGGGTATTAAAGTTATATAAAAACTAACAAGATTACTAATAAATAATATTATAGCTTTAAAAGTTTAAGTGCTGACATGCAAATCAATTTTCTGTACTCTGTAGCCTTCCTTTATTGAAATAAGGACAAATGAGAGTTGCCAGAAACTATACATTTTGATTTTAAAAATCATCTACCTGTATATGTACTCCTAATATTCTGAAATACTATTTAAATAAGAAACTTCTTTTTAGCAGATTTGCATGATTTTGTTTTATTAAGAAGTGAAACATTATCGGGGCACCCAGGTGGCTCAGTCGGTTAAGTGACTGCCTTCAGCTCAGGTCATGATCCTGGAGTCCCGGGATCGAGTCCCGCATCAGGGTCCCTGCTCAGCGGGAAGTCTGCTTCTCCTTCTGACCCTTCCCCCTCTTGTGCTCTCTCTCTCTCAAATAAACAAATAAAAATCTTAAAAAAAAAAAAAAAAAGAAACATTTTCAGACCACCAGAGTGTTTGAGGTTTGTATCCCTGGGCTGGTCGACCCCAGCCTCTTCTCCAGACCTATCCTGTCACCATCTTTTGGGGTGGGACCCCAGCACGGGAGTGGCAAAGCTCCTCAGGTGATTGCGTCCACTGTGCCACATTCTAGGTTCAGTGAGAACAGAGGCTGGGACCCAATTTTTCACTGTTTCATCCCCACTGTTTGGCCCAGGACCTGAAATCTAGAAGTTGTTCAATAAATGTTTGAATGAATGAATGGATCATCAGTTCTTAAATGAAAGATCACTATTGACATAAATAGTCTCTGTCTGTTTCTGATATGATCTATACTAGACAGAAGGGAGACCTAGACAAGGTATTCCTGAAATTTGTCATCTCTTGATTCTGCCTTGTTTTTCGGTTGCAGGACTCCTTGGCCCTGCCAAGAGAGATGCATGGCTCCAGTTAAGGGCAGAGATCGAAGGTCTGACAGACTCCTGGCTAACAAATGCACTTAAATCTTTATCAATTATTAGTACTAGGTAAGTGGTATTGTTTCAGTTTCTGCATTTATTGTATTGAAGATGTAGTTGTAATAGTGCAACATATATACAAATTCTTTAATTACTGGAGTATTTTAGAATTTCAAGGGACCCAACAATTCATTGAAGCAAGTGATTTTCAATGTGTGTGGGGGAGGTGTTTGGGGGTAGGGGATGGGAGTTGCAGCTTCTTAGCAGGAGATCCCCCTCCTTTCTGTATAACTACTGCTAATCTCCACAGGAAGGTCATGTGGCTTGTAATAAGAAAAGAAAAAAGAAAAGACAGCACCCTCTTAGTGGCAAAGTACAGGAGATGATGAAAAAAATGAAAGAATACAATTTACACAGAGTGCATGTTTTTAAGTGTTTTGGCCCACTATAGATAATATGCATAATTTATCTATTTATTTTTTAAGATTTTATTTATTTATTTGACAGAGAGAGACACAGCAAGAGAGGGAACACAAGCAGGGGGAGTGGGAGAGGGAGAAGCAGGCTTCCCGCAGAGCAGGGAGCCTGATGCAGAACTCGATCCCAGGACTCTGGGATCATGACCTGAGCCGAAGGCAGATGCTTAACGAAGGCAGACGCTTAACGACCGAGCCACCCAGGTGCCCTGATAATATGCATATTTAAATGCAACAAAATCCCTGGTGAAAGCTCTTTGGAAAACTTGTAACCATTGTGTTGTTAGAACTGAACAGTGAAATACTGACTTACTAGTGTAGATAATAGAACTGAATAGACCTATAACTAGTTGAACACCATGTGCCATAGATGCTAGTTCTTGAAGTGATATAAATCTGGAAAGTGATAGCTAGTTAGGATGGGGATGAATCTCTATTCTATCCTTAATTTTATTTCTGAGTTAGGTAGATAAAAGCACGCATAGCCAACCTGTGGGTAGCACAAATTCAGAGGAAGAGGTAATACTTGGACTGATTGAATCTGGATACAGAAAGCCTCAGTGGGGTAAAAGGAGAATCCAGGGTTAGAACATGGAAGTTAGCATGTGTGCATCCAGTCCTCCACGTGGCTTCCAGCCACCACGTAACCAGCAACTACACTGATGTCGGAAACTGTAAGTGGGTGGATGGAGGTGGCCAGGAAGCTACAAGTTTCCTGGGTCAGGCTGGGGAAGCCAAACCAGAGTACTTCACTCAGTTCTGGGCACCACATTCCAACGGGGGCTGTGGCATATTTGACATCTTATGTCCAGCAAAGTGGCCAGAAGGGTTTTAGGCTGAGGATGGATACCACATGAAAGGAACAGTTGGAGGGAGGAACCAAAGAGTTTTGTCTGAAGGAGAGTCCTATGTGAAACATCCTATGTGAAACAAGATTACCAATTTCAACTGTTTGAGATGTTAGGCTGAAAGTAAATTACATTTCTCTCTGATCTGTAAAGGAGAAAATTGGGATGGATGTGTGGGAATCCTAGGGAGGAAGTTCTGGCTCTGTGTAAGGAAGGACTGTCTCACAGTTGAAGCTGTTTTAAAATAGGACTTGCTGGCTTGTGATCTGTAACTGGTGATATGGAGACAAAAGGTCAAGGAAGCTAAGACGTGAGGACTCCTGAGTCCCTGAAATTGTGTGTAAAATGTAGTAGAATGTACATTTCTCTGACAAGGAGGTCAGCAGCTTTCATTATTTCTAAAAGAAGTCTCCTAGATGCTTAAAAACCAAGGATTATTACAGTGTTATATAGATTATATACGTGTTATCCATGATATAGAGAGATTATTATTACACACTGGTCTTAAAGCAACAACATGGGTATGTGATTTTAAGAAATAAAAGTGTAGGGCGCCTGGGTGGCTCAGATGGTTAAGCGTCTGCCTTTGGCTCAGGTCATGATCCCAGAGTCCTGGGATCGAGTCCCGCATTGGGCTCCCTGCTCCTTGGGAGCCTGCTTCTCCCTCTGCCTCTCTCTCTCTCTCTGTGTCTCTCATGAATAAATAAATAAAATCTTTAAAAAAAAAAAAAAGAAAAGTGTAACTAGGAGAAAGGGAAAAATAAGTCATTACACACTGGAGATTTCAGTGCTTTCAAATTTGTCAAGTCATCCACATGTAGGACCCTACTGGTAATTTTTTTTACAAAATGTCCAGGAGAACAGAAGCTTATACAAAGCATGGCTGAATTATGTATCCGAGCCTTTAGCTAAGTTTGTACCCTCCAGCTCTAATTTTTCTCCTGTGAGTATAGTCAAAGGTCATAATCAAATGTGTAGGAAAATTTTCTATGTAACACATTATTTATAATGTTATCTTAAGTGAGCTAACTTTAAAAAAACGATGCTGCAGCCACATGTGGTTTTCACACATTATATTTTGTGAGGAAAGGAGGACTAATAGATAGTATGACATAAGTGAATAGGCTCATGATATAAACAAGCGAAAGAAGAAAAAAAATTATATGTATATTGTGGTACTAATGAGAAAAATATCTATACACAAATTCTGAAAGTAAACACACAAAATGGTGAGAGCAGTTACTCTCTGCTCTCTGGATAGCTAAATAATTGATGCTTCTCATGTTCTTGATATTTGCCCATATTTCACAAATGTATATACATGTAACCTATAAATATATGCAGTGTTTGTGATTAGAAGTTACAATGCATTATAAGTTGAATATTAAATATATGCAATGTTTATAATTTATAAATCTGCAATTTACAAATATATGCAAAGTTTGTAATTTAAAAAAGAAATGATATAACTCCAGTATCACTCAGTGTCAGTGGTACAGCTAGATTTCAAAATATTACTTCAATACAGTAATGTGTTTGTGTATTATGCTTAATAATCTGCCATTATTTGGGGAGTTTCTGTCTGATAACAGGCAAATCACTTCCTAGGTCTTTATTACCTTACTGGCAACATTAAGGATTACATTGGTGATACTTAACTAAACTTCTGCCTCTGGAAGGCTTTATTTCTTTATCCCATATAAGTGAGAACCTCGTCACGTGCTTCCAGAAATCAGAGCTCCCATTACAAAATCAGGTTATCTATGGAAATAATTTAGAAATGAAAATGTCTTAAAAAGCCTGTAATTATAAAGGTTTTATCCTTGTTTTTGAATAAATTACAGTTTTTCTTTACACAGGATATGTATAAAGAATATAAAGCATAATATTAAGTGTGGTGGGGGGTAAGCAGATACATACCATGAAAAGTTGGCACCCAACTTGCTCTTCTAACTTCCAACCAGGCTTCTGAAAATCAATCTAGAGAATTCTAGAGAATATTTTTGAGGCTCTCACTAATATGTATTAAAGGCTCGTGCTACAAAATACCAGTAGAGAAAGGTCCGTACCTATATGCCTTCTGAGTCCCAATTTGATGTGTGTGGTTTGAGCCCCTCAAGGCAGGATGGCTCAATTTTTCCATAATCCAGAAGGAAGGACCACAGTCCATTCTTTCCAGATCTCTGCCTCACAGTTTCCACTCTCTTGGTGTTTCCTTTATCTCCCTGCAATATTACTCTGAAAGAAACAACTGTAAGTTGTAAAATGGGACATTTTCACTCTCAAAGAGTAGGGCCTTTGTAGACGGATTAAAACTGGACCCATTAAATGCAGTTCGCCCTTTGTTGTTGTTGTGAAGGAGATTCAGGAATTCACCTCTTCCGGAATAAATAAGGGTCCTCTCCATTCTTACTTCTTCAGGATCCCCATCTGAAGAAGTGTTCTTGATTGGAACACTGGACTGTTGCTCCCACAAAATCCAAAAACTCCTTTTACACATCCCATCACCTTCTTTCTGCCTATGACTACTACTTTTCCAGGCTCTTCTAACCCTGGGACATAGAATCTTACCACCCTAAAAAATACCTCGTCTGGATACCTGTAAAACTTAGAGCTAAACTATCCCTTTGATAACCTTCCCATGATTGCCATTGGCTGAGGCAGGTGTTCTTCTCTGAGGTTCCACAGAAGCCTAAAGAGGAGATCTTTACCATAGAACATATTTCATATTGCAGGTGTCTACTTCCTTGTCTCTCTCCTATCTAGCCTGTGATCTGGGACGCAGCGGGGCCAAAAATGTCATTCATCCATGACTTCTTTTTGCCTGTCTTCTTCCGCTCCCCCCATTTGGGGATGTATTCCTAGCCTCTGTCATGATGCCTGTCAGGTAGCAGGCACTCCGTAAATAACTGTTGACATTTAAAGGTTAGGTTATCAGGGCCCATTTGTTATGGAATTGAAAGACCCCAGTGACCATTTAAAATCTGCACCATTAGAAATTATTTAGTATTAGAAAACAACAATGCGTATTTCCTCCCTATCGTAGGAGTAACTGCGTAAATGTCTTGGTAACGACAACCCAACTGATCCCAGCACTCGCGAAGGTTCTACTCTATAGTTTAGGAGGTGCTTTCCCCATTGAGAATATTTACAGTGCAACTAAAATAGGTAAGAAAATTCTTTCTAACTCTGTATGAAATGTGTTCACATCTGTGTCTTGGGGGATTTTCTTAATATGTCTCGCTGCATGATTCCCTCTTTAATCAGTTTTGCTATTAGAATATCACGCAAATTTGAACAGAGCTCAGATAACAAAGGAGCCTGTGACTCATTGTACACATGCAAATTTTATGAAAACTGTTGCCTAGTGAAATTCTGAATTCAGTATCTGGACAATTCTGTTTACTTATTTATGTATTTGTATTTATCTTTCATTATAGCACCTGTTTTCTAAATAATAGAGTGTCTTTGGCCGTGGTACTTAGTATCTTAGTATGGTATATGGTATTGCATCTTTGCAGATGCGATAATCTAGATCTAAGATAAAAATACTATGTTGGCATTACAGGGGAGTGCCGGATGGATGGAAGTAGCATCCTTTATTCCAGAAAAAAATAATCTCATGCAATATAACTCATGAATGCCTGGAAATCCACATTTCCAACAATATTCCCTAGTAATTAAAGATCTACAACCTTGTTTATTTGCTTACTATCTGTCTGCGGAGCCATTTGTGACTTGAAGTGCCTCTCACAGACTACGTCTCTAATAATCTTTCAAAAACAGAGCTTCCTAACCTCTGCCATCCTGAAAGAGTTAAAAGAAAACAGCTTGCATATTGCATATTGCATATTGTCTTGTCAAGGAAATGCCTGGGGAAATAGGTTGTATAATGTGCCCTGCAGGTCAGCAAACTTGGGCTCTGGCATCTTGACAAGAGCTCAGAATCCCAAAATCCCCTACCAAAAATAACGTGTCCTGGGCCTCGCAGAGTTTCGATATTGGCACAAGCTAAAAAGAGCCCCCAGTTGCAGCTGTTTCAGGAGTATAATTAAAGAGAGCCTTTACAAGCTTTGTAAATTCCACATTGTCCTACACACTACAGCTCAGAGCCCTGATACCAATCTTCATTACAGAAATGTATGTATTTATGCTGGCAGGATTAATCTATCACACTTTATTTTGCATTTTGACATGTCAAATAATTTTGCACCAGCATATAAGCATTTCTTCTAGCAAGGACGATACTCTTTTTTACTGGCCAAATTGTTCTTCATATTTAATCTGAAAAAACAATGATTTTTATTTTTCCCTTTAAGCTAGTTTTTTTGTTGTTTTTTTGTTTTGTTTTGTTTTGTTTTTTTGGAGTTCCAAACTATCAGATTAAGAAAAAAATGCAAAAAATAGCCATGACTGCATGAACATTCTGGGAATGAAATTCAGAGAATTATGCCAATATTGTAAAATGAAGAACATGTAGAAATTCCACCGTGTTATTCCCATAGTACAATCAGAGGAGACAGGTGTCCACAGTGCTGTGGCCCAAAGAGCGCCCTTAGTACAATTAATCTGAGCAGACTAGCTCCCAGCCACTTGAAGAAAGGAGTTGTTTATCAAGGTAAATCCACATCTTAGTATTTCCTCCTTCCTTACAGGTGAACCTTCAGTTTCTTACAATAATATTTCTAGCTGACTTGTCTGTACTACTTAAACTAGATAAAATTGATACACAGAATTAAATTTAAAAAAATGTTAAAACTCATAGTTGCTTGTAAAGTTGTTCCAGTATTCTTTTGGTGGTGTAAAAGATGCTATTTTCTCTGGGTCAAATGCTTAACCCTACTGACTTTTTTGGAGTGTGAAACACATTTGTTCAATAATCTGTCTCAAGTAAAGACTTGACATTATTCAAATGTATTTGTTGATTTCATAAACCCAGAGGTTGCAAGCTAGCTTAAGTGATTGATGTTCAAGAGAAATTAACCTAACACTTTATGAATCTTTAGGTTAATGAATGCAATGGCTGGAAGAATAAGCAGTGCATTGTTTTTCAGGCAAGGAAAGCTGTTTTGAGCGTATAGTGTCCAGATTTGGCACTAACATAACTTATGTTGTGATTGGAGATGGCCGAGATGAGGAGCATGCCGCTAACCAGGTAACTTCACTCTGAACTTTATCTCATTTATCTTCCAGGAAAAGAAAGTTGCTTTGAACGAATAATGCAAAGGTTTGGCAGAAAAGTAGTATATGTTGTAATTGGGGATGGTGTAGAAGAAGAACAGGCAGCAAAAAAGGTAACCTGTCTCAAACAATGTTGGTGTGATACTTTTAATGCAAGCTTTTGTGTTTGCATTCCTGTAGTTTGGCCCAATGGCAGCTTGACAAATGATTTGAATTTATAGATGCAAAGCAGTAAGAGCATGAGAAGGTCAATACTTACATTCAAATAAACCATTTGGAGTCTAGCATTTTTTTGCCTGAAATTTGATAGGAAATGTACAAAAATTTAAATTTATGTGTGTTTGTGTGTGTGTGTGTGTTTATGTGTAATGCACACAGATATGATGATCTTTGAGAAAGGTAGGGGAAAATAACCATTTTTAAACACATGGAGTTTAACCTGATAGACAGGTTAAATGAGCTCCATAGAAATCATATCAGTGGCTCTGTTCTTACCCTTTTGCTCACCCACCTTCTATGCCAGTGGTCCTTGTGAGTGCCTTGTAGTAAGTGTGCTCCTTGATGATAAATGCTAAGGATAGATTCAGTAGCTGAAGAAAAAACTATTGCTAGAGAATTTAATAAATGCTGTTGAAATGACATGTATTATTCAGATCCTTTGGTGCCAACTTGTCATAGAGACTTAGAGGCAGTATGCCTTATATCTTCTAGAAGAGTGTTGCCTGTTTGAGCCGTTAGTACTCGACTGAAGCCAAGCAGGTGACTTTGAACATATTCAGAAAATCTCATAGGCCCTAGGTATTTAAATAAGCCTTTTCATCTAGCCCATATTTCTGAGGAAGAAATTAAGGTAGTGAAAAACCATTAAATGGTTGGCCCAAGATCAAAAGAGGAATGATACCAGGATTGGTCCTAGACACCAAACTATCAGTTGACACAACACTGAGACCTAATGCTTCCTTCACTGAATGGTCACAAAATATCATCTAGCCAGGATAAAAATCATATAATTTATAGAATAAAGCAAAATGATGATTGCTATTTTTAAACAGTGACATATCAGTTTATATTGTTTTACATAGAAAGAATGTTGTCATCATCCTGAGGAGAGCTCAAATCATCATCTAATAAAGCCTTCACACTTGCATGTGCTGGAGTGTTTACTTGATTACTGTTTTCCAAAATAAAATTTTAAGAAAAGTTTATAGCTATACTAGAAAGATAAAAGAAATGACTTCGGTTTGTAGATAATTTAAATCAAGCAAAATGAAGAATGAGAAAGAGCTTCTACTTTAGAAGGTTTGGTGAAGTGTTGGAAGCCATAATTGAAAAATTCCATGCTTTTCCATAACACTAAGAACTGGTGTAGGCTCAGATTGCCACAGAGCTCCTGGTCTTAATTGTTAGCAACATCAGTGACCCAGGACAGCACACTGGCCCCTCGGACATTCTGTATCAGGTCAGAGATGGAGCTTCAAGAAACACAACTTTCACTGCTGAGTGCTACTTAGAATCCTTCCAGTTGCACACAGTTGAATTATCTCTTGGAGTTTGTCAATGTCCAGAGTCCACGCTATTTTGATTTTTCACATTGGCACCATCATGACGCACAACAAGTAGTCAATGCACCACTGCAGCAGACATTTTGCATGTCTTTTAGACTATGTGAAATTCACACAGATCTAGGTCAGGGCAATATAAGTTCGCTTTTCCAAACCAGAGACATTATTTGCCTTTGAAAATGAAAATGCATAAAGTCTACACCATTTATTCATGGTGTGAAAACAGGACTTGGCACCCCAGTTGTTATACCCTCTGTTTTACCCCTGAAACTTCAGGAGAAAAGGCATGACTCCAGGTGGATGAGAACCTTGGTTAGAATGCTATTTCCAAATGGTTGTTTATGTAGGTACAGTTTTGGTGATGGTGAAGGCTTACGGTTCTATTTTGAAACACAGGTGGCTGGTCCCTCTAGTATGCAGGATGCATGCTTTTCTTTGGATGTGGCTGTAATCGCATGCGCAGAAATACAAAGTACCATTTTGTTGTTAAAAATAGATCTGAGCTGAATGAACAAAAAAGACTTCTGTGCTTTAATTGGACCTAGAAACATGTTTTGTTTTGCAAATTTAAGAAGAAATTTCAAAGTTTAAGAATTAATGTATAACCACAGCCCCCTGTAGAAATATATAATGTGAGCCATTGTTGTAATTTTAAGTTTTCTGGAAGCTGCATTTTTTAAAAAAAGAGACAGGTAGAATTAATTTTAGTAATATAATTTAACCCAATATACCTAAAATATTACTGTATCAATATCTAATAAAAATAATAATTACTAATGTAATGTTTACATTCTAAGTCTTTGAAATTCAGTATACATTTTGAACAGGCCTGGTCACATTTCAGGTGCTCAATACACACATGGGGCTACTGGCTACCATATTAGACAACAGAGAATCATAACAATAGTGATTATTATTTTAATGTTTAACTTCTATTATAAAATACATTTTCCATGTTTTATATATATACATATATATGTATTTTTGTTTTATATATATATGGATATGTACTCTACACATATATATTCTACAAGATGCCATCAGCCCAAAACTACAAATAATGCTTTGGTTTTAATTGCTACTGTGCATTATTTCTTTTTTTCATTGTTGTCCATAATGGAGTATTTTTAGACAATTTTTTCCTAATCACACTTTTTTGTGAAGCTTATCACACATATACCATATCCTGGTATATCTTTGGAGAGGCTCAAACCATTGTAATGTCTAAGAATATTTTTCCCCAAAAGGGGTCATTTTTGTCCCCTTTAGTACATATCACCCCTATTGGGAATGGATGCTGGAGTGCTTTGTTTCAGTCCCATACCAGTGAAATAAGTCAGTGCTACTGACTTAAGTTATTACTTACCCCAGAAAAGGAAGAAGGTTGATCATCCCCACATTGTTTCCTACCTTATATAGTCCAGCTTCAAATTATTTTTTTACATAGAAGGGAATTCACCTTCTTCCTCTCCTATAGACAAAAAACCTTGGACTTAGGAAGTTTATCATTTTTTAAATTTTGTTTCTGAGAGGTGAACCATAAGGAGTGTTGTGGTTAAAAATTGCTTTCCGTAAGCCACTGAGGATTGCTCCGTGCTCAACTTGCTTCCCCAGATGCTGATATTAATCATGCTTTTCCAGAATAAATACTAAACTACTTAAGAAATCTCAGCATTTGCTTTTATAAACATTAAAATCCAGTTCAGATCTATTTCTCTACTATCTTGACAATACGATATTGATGCTACCAAGCCTTCAAATACAATCATGCTTCCCTTGAGTTCTCTCCCTTGAATGTGGGTGAACCACACGTCTTTGTGTGTACTGCTGCTTTATTGAGACAAGAGTTATGATTTCTCTCCATTCCTTCCCCTTCTCTCCTCTGTCCCTCCCTCTGTCAACACACAGCACAACATGCCCTTTTGGAGGATATCAAGTCACTCAGACCTCTTGGCTCTGCATCAAGCACTGGAATTAGAGTATTTGTAACTGTGTTCTCTAGCTGGAGATCCATTTTTTTTTTTATATATTTCAAGTACACTGAATTTTTATGTGTGATTCAATGCCCCTGGCTTTACACATATAAATTGTCTTAAAGGATGAAATCATATTTGGAATGAAAATTCCAGAATGAAGAATTCAGATTGCTGAATGGAGTTAAACTTTAGCACTGCAGAAAGGAAGCTCTATGGTCTTATATTTACAACACTTTAATGTTTAAAAAAATAAAAAATCTGTGGAGGTTGCTGGTACACACCGAGTGAGTCCTAACTGGAATTAACAGCTTTAGCAAAGAACTCTTACCCTGGCAAAGCACCAACACAGGCTCCGTCTGACAAGGTGGTGTTCAACAACATTCCTCAAAATGGGAGATCTTCTCAGCCCTGAGGTTTGAATCTGACTTTAGCCTACCTAGCCCAGAAAATCTGAATTGGAATGCACTCAGACTGTATAAGGACAATCCTATCTAGACCTGTAATTTGTGTAAATTATGGATGAAAATAATTTACTGTGACTTTATTAGCAGCTGACTTTGAAAGTGGATGCAATTTTTCTTTTCATTTGTTGGGGAGGGAAGTGGGTGGGCAGTGGGAGTCTAATAATGTCTCTTTTTTTAAGTTTGGCAAACAAAATGTTCATACTGATGTGTTGTGCCTTAAAGACAAGACAGCATTTGTGTGTGTTACAATGTAACTTTGGTTAAAATCTCTGTAGATAATGAAAAACAAAAACAACAACAATAACAAAAAAAGCCTTTGTGATCATTCTTAAGATGACCAAATTTAAAATTCAAGCTATCAAAGCTTAATACTGCATCAGCAAGAAACTGAGTATTTGTTGCAATAAGAAAACAATGATAATAAAGGAAAGCTTGTGTTTTATTTGGGTTCTTAATAATTCCAGTAGTTATATGAGGCAACTATTTGTGCATCCAACCATAAGCAGAAGGCAAGGTTATGGGAAGGTTTGGGAAAGACTGTGGGACCTTTACTTAAAAGTGAAATGTATGTTGAAGTCTCGAGTACCCCTTTCTACAGTTCTTCTGGAGAAAACTAAGAGCCATATTCATGACTACTTACATTATTTTGAGTTTGACTTTTTGATATGTATAAGTTGTGTCGAGGAAGATAGTCTCATTAAAATCATAACCAAATAGCCCCCAAACTTTCTTAGGCTATTCCATGAACATGGCTTGAAATTCACATTGAGTGAACATGGCTTAAAATAAAGCTAAGTGCATTCATTCCCAGTGCCATCGTGAAAATGAAATGTCATCAGTGGTGGAAGGTGAATGCCCAGATGCCTTCTAAAGAAAGGAGTGAATCAATGAAAATTTTACCTAGAATATCATCATAAAATAAATTGGCAAACGAGCCAGATCTTGGCAGCAATACTGAAAATTACAACAGTGAAATAGTATCTGGTTCTCTGTCTGAATGCGTCAATCCAGTTTCTCTCCCTTAGAGACCCACGCACCTTCATTTCTGCCCGCACTGTTCCTGCACAATGGCCTGCGTTCATTGCAAGGAGAACCTGTCATCGTTGTGTGTGCATGTGTGTTTTTTTCTTGGTGTGTAGCCCATGTTAGGAACACGATACAGGTTCTCCTGTCATTTTGTATGACATGATATTTCCCTTGTGGAAATTTAAGACTTCAAGATCTATGAGTGTTTTAATGGTGTCTGCACCTGCAGTTCTGTGTTTAAAATGTGGAGGCTGGAATCCAGCTAATAGGCAGAGCCCCTAACCAGACGTCGGTCTGTGATAGCTCATCATCTGAGGCTTCCATGGCTCCCGTAGGATCAGTGCTTTGCACACTGATCACAGCATTCACTATGGAAATGAGGTTTTATTTTCCAGGTTGTAAACCTGTATTTCTTTACTGAATGCTAAGACCATATTTACATTGGGCAGAAAGAGCTTGAGATCCAATTTTGCAGATTTTAAGACTGTGATTTCATCACACAAACCTTGAACTTATTCTTTAAATTTTGTAACTTTTGGCTCTCTCTGCCCCAAGTACTGGTGCAGACAAATTAAGGTTGCAATACTTTTAATAATAATGATAATGATCATCATCATCGTCTTACATTTCTATTGGCCTTGAAAATAGCAGTTTAAAAAAATCAAAGAGCTGCACTGATTATCAATAATTATATTTTGTGCACTAACACCTTAAATATTTATTACTGTGAATAAAACACTATTATCTTTCTAGCCAGTTTTTTTAAATGATAGATTTGTGGCATTACATCTAGACTTTTAATTCTTTTTCATATCAAACAAGCAAGGCTTCTAATGTTGCTAAAACCCTGCAGGTACAGAAAGGAACACCCTTTCACAAGCAAAGGAAGTGTCACTGATGACCTCACCCAGTGCTATTTCTCACATACATTATCCCCCCTGATTGTGTGTTCAGAAGAGGCTGCCGGCATAAAATCTAAATGCTAGGTTAACGAACAGCTTGATGGCACAACAATGGCACAGGCCAGTATGGCCGACCTCACAGCTTGTCATGCAACTTCAAGCATGCTCAAACTGGAACCCTGCCTTTCCTATGCTAGGAACAGAGATCTTCTTCCTTTCTGATCTAATAAAACAAGAAACAAAAAAAAAGCCAACAAACAAACAGAAAAAACCCCTTTGGCAGTTCCCACTTTCTGTTGACATAGACTGTTGTGCCTTATTATAAACCAATTTGAAAAGTGTTCTGTCACTGAAATGAGTTTTCAGCTACTACATGTAAAACTTGGTCTATCACTAGGAAAGGTAACCACCTTGTGTCACACCTGAAAAATATCAAAGCAGGTGGCCTGGCTACGATATTATAGCATACAATATTAAGTCACTCTACCCCTACAAAAGTTTAAGTCAAATTCAGAAGCAAAAAAAAAAAAAAATTTTAGAATCATGCAGTTTGTGCACAAAAAAATGGATAACTCTAAAAATGTTTTTTTCCTTAGTCCCTGGTGAGTGAAGATTCAAAATAGTGTCAACAGCATGCTCCAGTTTGAAGTTGTTATCTTTTTAAGCACATTTTTTTTGAAGAGCCTACATTCTCAGTGAATATGGGATTTAGTATTTCTTACAAAAACAAATTTGAGCATCATGAGCCAAAGTTGCATTTTGACTCCCAACTATGGTAGCATTATGGAAATCTCACAAAGTCAAGGGTTTCTGTTATGTATTAGTAAAGTATAGATTATTGGGGCTGATATAATTTAAGAAATGTAAATTAATATTAAAAGCTTGTAAAAATATGTACATCTTTACTATTTCTCAATAAATACCTTTGGAAATGTTTTCATTTTCTTCACCCTCCCATGTTGTAGAGTTTTTGTTGTGTGGACTTAGCTCGATTCTAGATAATGTGAAATTTATATTTAAGCTTCCTGGTGTATTCTTACCTTCCCTTGCTTATACCTAGATGTCATTTGCAGTTAAGGCGAGTGAGATGTAACATGACAGAATGTCCCTCATCAAGACTACAAGTGGGCTGGTGTGCCGAAAGGATGTGAGTTGCATTGGTTTGATATAGGAACAGTCACATTCAAGGGTAATGCAGAAAGGAGTTGCAGTTCATTAATGACAACACAATACCTTTAGAATATTTAAAGCAATGTTTTTTTTAGATGAATATGGGACGCAGTTTATAAGTAGCTTCCAAGAGTGATAAAAGGAGTGTTGTTCTTAAATAGCTTTTTTAAAAATTCTTTATCTAAATTCAAGTTAGTTAACACATAGTGTATTATTAGTTTCATGGGTAGAATTTAGTGATTCATCAGTGCTTAATATATCAAGCACCCTCCTTCGTGCCCATCCCCCAGTTACCCCATCCCCCAACCCCCTCTCCTCCAGCAACCCTCAGTTTGTTTCCTAGAGTTCAGCTTCTCTTTATCTTTCTCTGACTCATTTCACTCAGCATAGTACCCTCTAGTTCCATCCACGTTGTTGCAAATGGCATGAGTTCATTCTTTTTGATGGCTGAGTAATATTTCATTGTCTTAAACAGCTTTTTTTTTAAGATTTTATTTATTTATTTGATAGAGACAGATAGTGACAGAGATAGCAATAGAGAGCACAAGCAGGGAGAGAGGCAAAGGGAGAGGGAGAAGCAGGCTCCCCGTGAAGCAGGGAACCCGACATGAGGCTCCATCCCAGGACCCCGAGATCATGACCTGAGCCGAAGGCAGACGCTTAACCGACCGAGCCACGCAGGCGCCCCTTAAATAGCTTTTAACAGCTTTCTTACCTTGTGTATGGTATTGATTTATTTGCAGATCTGTTGTTCAGATGCAAACCAAAGGGAAATTTCAGACAACCTCATTCATAACTTTTTAAAAGGCTCACCTCCAAATTGAGTATGTCCCACATGTTCCCCCAGCATTATATCATTTCCCTCCTTTACTGTTAAGTAATACTTAATCCCTAGATTTACAGTTACCCAACATGGCACATACTTTTGTTTATCCTTTGTATTGGATGACTTCCGTACTAGAATGTGTGCCCTGTGGGGACAGGGATTTTTGTCTTATTTTGTTTTGTTCACTTCTATATAACCAGTATCTAGGAGAGTATCTGGCATGTAGTAGATACCCCCAAATAATATTTGCTGAAGGAATATATAAACCGTAGGAAAACTTGTATGATCATGGTCTGGAATTAAAAAGATTTTAAAAAGTTGAGCTAGATTTTTTTAAAAAAGAGAAAACATGCAGGTAAGTTTGGATGGAACTAATGTAAATTTTTACAACTTAGCTGGAGTGTCTACTGGTCTAATAATTCATGAAAATAAAGAGCAAGGATGGTCATAAGTAAAGATGTATTTGGGAATAGAGTTACATGTGAACTGAGAATAATCTGGAAAAGAAAAAATAAGTTTGCAATGAATCAGTAATTGATTCCTCTGCCCCCATTACTCTTTTATTAAATAATAATAATATGCAACATCAGTAGCTTTAGTTGATTTAAATTATTTAAAGCCACAA